TAATGCAGAGGAGATCGGAATGAAATTAACTAAACATCTGGGAAAGGAGAGAGCGGGGCCTCCCTCACCACAACTCCCAAATATAACTCTCCCAACTTCCACCTCAGAAACTATAATTGTTTCACTGAAACACCCGAATAAAACTCTCCCAACTTCCACTTTAGAAATTAGAATTGTTGTAAACTACAGCGGTTCAATGTTTCAAGGAATAGACTCAACTTACTTTATTCAGCTAGCTAACTATGACGCCATAGCTAACTAGCATGCTAGCATCCAATAACACACGGTTTAGCACCAATACTTGGTTACAACAAACTACCAATAGTGTGTTAACACACTAAACAGATAATTCGTGTCCGTGTCTAGTTCCTTTCATAACGCAGCAATAATTCAACGTTGGCTAGCTAGCACAAAGATATTGTATTTAGCTGCTACAGTACTGCTAGCTGGTAGTGTTGGCTAGCTAGCAATGGCTGCTGTGTTGACTTTGTTTGAAAAAAACGGCGTCGCTGCGAACGAATGTAGCTGGCTAAAATTATATTGTATTTAGTTGCTATAGTACTGCTAGCTGGTAGCGTTGGCTAGCTAGCAATGGCTGCGGTGATGACTTTGTTTGAAAAACGGCGTCGCTGCGAACGAATGTAGCTGGCTAAAAGGATATTGTATTTAGTTGCTACAGTACTGCTAGCTGGTAGCTGGTAGTGTTGGCTAGCTAGCAATGGCTGCGGTGTTGACTTTGTTTGAAAAACGGCGTCGCTGCGAACGAATGTAGCTGGCTAGCTAACCTCGATAGTTACTCTATACTACACCTTTATCTTTGATACAAATACAACTATGTAGCTAGCCAACATTACACTAATCAAATCGTTCCATTGTAATGTAATGTGTCATATTACCTGCGGAGCGAAGTACAGCATGACTACTCACCTCGCCTGCCTGCCGACCTTGAGAGAATTACTTGACACATTGGAAAGCTATGCTCACTGAGTCTGTACATAGAAGGCTATGCTCACTGAGTCTGTACATAGTCAAAGCTTTCCTTAAGTTTGGGTCAGTCACAGTGGTCAGGTATTCTGCCACTGTGTACTCTCTGTTTAGGGCCAAATAGCATTCTAGTTTGCTCTGTTTTTTTGTTTGTTCTTTCCAATGTGTCAAGTAATTCTCTTTTTGTTTTCTCATGATTTGGTTGGGTCTAATTGTGTTGTTGTTGTTGTCCTGGGGCTGTGTGGGGTCTGTTTGTGTTTGTGAATAGAGCCCCAGGACAAGCTTACTTAGGGGACTCTTCTCCAAGTTCATCTCTCTGTAGGTGATGGCTTTGTTATGGAAGGTTTGGGAATCGCTTCCTTTTAAGTGGTTATAGAATTTAACAGCTCTTTTCTGGATTTTGATAATTAGCGGGTATTGGCCTAATTCTGCTCTGCATGCATTATTTGGTGTTTTACGTTGTAAACAGAGGATGTTTTTGCAGAATTCTGCATGCAGAGTCTCAATTTGGTGTTTGTCCCATTTTGTGAATTCATGGTTGGTGAGCTGACCCCAGACCTCACAACCATAAAGGGCAATGGGTTCTATAACTGATTCAAGTATTTTTAGCCAGATCCTAATTGGTATGTCAAATTTTATGTTCCTTTTGATGGCATAGAAGGCCCTTCTTGCCTTGTCTCTCAGATCGTTCACAGCTTTGTGGAAGTTACCTGTGGCGCTGATGTTTAGGCCGAGGTATGTATAGTTTTTTGTGTGCTCTAGGGCAACATTGTCTAGATGGAATTTGTATTTGTGGTCCTGGCAACTGGACCTTTTTTGGAACACCATTATTTTTGTCTTACTGAGATTTACTGTCAGGGCCCAGGTCTGACAGAATCTGTGCGGAAGATCTAGGTGCTGCTGTAGGCCCTCCTTGGTTGGTGACAGAAGCACCAGATCATCAGCAAACAGAAGACATTTGACTTCAGATTCTAGTAGGGTGAGGCCGGGTGCTGCAGACTGTTCTAGGGCTTAAACTGCATCCCTGTCTCACCCCACGGCCCTGTGGAAAGAAATATGTGTGTTTTTGGCCAATTTTAACCGCACACTTATTGTTTGTGTACATGGATTTTATAATGTCGTATGTTTTTCCCCCAACCCCACTTTCCATCAATTTGTATAGCAGACCCTAATGCCAAATTGAGTCAAAAGCTTTTTTGAAATCAACAAAGCATGAGAAGACTTTTCCTTTGTTTTTGTTTGTTTGTTTGTCAATTAGGGTGTGCAGGGTGAATACGTGGTCTGTCGTACGGTAATTTGGTAAAAAGCCAATTTGACATTTGCTCAGTACATTGGTTTTCACTGAGGAAATGAACTAGTCTGCTGTTAATGATAATGCAGAGGATTTCCCCAGGTTGCTGTTGACGCATATCCCACGGTAGTTATTGGGGTCAAATCTGTCTCCACTTTTGTGGATTGGGGTGATCAGTCCTTGGTTCCAAATATTGGAGAGGGTCAGTATAGGGGGATGAGAAGAGGCAAAAGAGGAAGGCCCTCAAAATTGTCAAAGACTCCAGCCACCCTAGTCTTTCTCTCTCTCTTTCTCTCTCTCTTTCTCTCTATCTGTTCTATCTCTATTCACACTCTCTCTCTCCTCTCTCTCTCTTCTCTCTGATTTTTTTCTCTCTTCTCCTCATTTCTATTGCCTCTTATCTCCTCTTCGCCTTTCTTTCTCTCTCTCTTTCTCTTTCTCTCCGCTTCTCTCTCTCCTCTCTCTGTTCAGTTGCGCTCTCAGAATCTGGGAATCTCTGCCCTCCCTCTCGTCATCTCATCTGTCGAACTCTCGAGATCACCTGCTCGTCGTGCGTCGAACGTACGCTCTCCTCCTCCTCGCTCTCTCCTCATCTACTCTCATCTCTCATCGATCTCCTCTCACTCTCTCGTCTCTTCATCTCTCGCTTCTGTCTGTGCTCAGATCCCTCACTGTGTATGTTATTCCTTATTGAACACTCTCATTGTCTCTCTCTGTGCCTTCTGATTTTTGCAAATGGCGTCAAAACAGAAATGGACAAATGTCCACCTAAAATGGACACTAATGTTTTGAACTAAAGTTTTGAACTTGAACTTCATTACTGTATTCCTCCTATCCAGATGCTGATCACAGCTAGTCAGATCCAGTGGACGGCTGACGTCACCAAGTCTCTGATCACCGGCAAGGAGAGGGCCGACAAGTCGGCCCTCAAGTACTAAGAAGAAACAGGTTAAGAGGAGAGCGAATGGTATACTCTGTTAACAATAACTCATTATGAGTGGTGAAACTCTGCTGCTCAAAGTAGACTCCAATAGTATGAGTGATGAGGAAGTGCTATAGAGTAGGTCCTGTTAACCAGGGACCGTATGCACAACTCACACAAGCGCTGTTTGACTCTGTAACTTTGAACCTTTGGTCCTGCCCGGTCGGTGTCCATGCTGCACCGTTACTCTGCGCCATCCTGGGGAACCTGTCTAAGATCCTTCGCCTGAATATTGTTGCGCTGGTCACCGTGGAGGTGCACGCCGGAACGTCATCGACCAGCTGTCTAAGACGGCTGTACGACGTCAAACTCCTTTAACCTGGGCTCTGCCAGTACCGCCTCTACTGGGATAAGTACGGCGAGTGGGATTAAAGTGAGAATTAGGAGGGGGCGATTAGTAGGAGTGAGGAGAATGGAGGGGGGAGGCTGCGTTTTATTGTCCGATTTGAGGATAGGTAAGATCGGAGGCCTTTCTGCGCTGGTTGGCGGAGGTGTGATCGGCTTGCGATCTCTTCCCATCTCTTCTCCGTCGCCTGCTCTCTTCTCCTACCTTGCGACCGGTCGTTTCGTCTTTGTGTCTTCTTTTTTTTTTTTCTTCTCTGCGGGACTGTTGCTGCCTTGCGTCTCTTGTCCGTTTCTTCTATTCTATTCTTCACCCTAGTTTTCTTCTCCCTCTTCCCCCTCTTCGTTTCCCCGCCACTCCCCCCTTTTACGCACTGGCCTATCCCTCCCCCCTCGTAGGTCCTACTCCTTTGCTCCATTTCTCCCTCTTCTCGCCTGTCCCTTCCCTAGCTTTCCCGGAAGCATCCCCGTATGCCTTTTACCCATCAATCTCCTGTAAGTAGAAGGTCCCCACCATCAGCTGAATGCTCACCCCTCTTCTCCCGTCACTAACCTCCCCCACCCCCCCCCTCCCCCTCACTCCTGTGCCTCCCCCCATTCAGCACACTCTATTTCCCCTTCCCCCCGTACCCCACAGGGCACCACAGAAGAGAAAAGCGAAGTTGACAACGAACAAGCCAAGGGAGGGAGAGTAAGAAGACCCCGCTAAGACCAGGGAAACGTAAGAACATATGACTCCTGCTTTAGGTTCACTCTAGCACCCTTTCCATCTCGATTCTGCCCGTCTTTTCCTTCTCTTACTCTTCAAATCTAGCTTGTGCTGCGCTGACGTGGGAGATTTATCACGGCTAGCTACAGAGCTCAAACCACGAGGCGGCCCAAAGGGTTGACGCAGTCCCACGCCGTACTACAGAAACATTTCGCCCTACATCTTCCTTCGGGATTGCTTGTGCCCTAGAACTGTGTACCCTCTCCACTCCTGTCCCCTTCTACCTAGTTTCCCAGAAGCGGACGTGTAAGTTAGACTCCAATAGTATGAGTGATGAGGAAGTGCTATAGAGTAGGTCCTGTTAACCAGGGACCGTATGCACAACTACACATAGCACCTGTTTGACTCTGTAACCTTTGACCCTTTGTCCTTGCCCGTCAGGTGTCCATGCTGCACCGTTACTCTGACGCCATCCGGGGGAACCTGTCTAAGATCCTGCGCCTGAAGATTGTTGCGCTGGTCACCGTGGAGGTGCACGACCGGGACGTCATCGACAAGCTGTCTAAGACGGGCTGTAACGACGTCAACGCCTTTGACTGGCTCTGCCAGCTCCGCCTCTACTGGGAGAAGGTACGGAGAGGGGGAGGAAAGGAAGAGATGAGGAGAGGGGGAGATTAGGAGGAGGTGAGGAGATGGAGGGGGGAGGAGGAGGGGAGGAAGAGGTGAGGAGAGGAAGAGAGGAGGACGTGAGGAGAGGGGGAGGAGGGGGGAGGATGAGGAGAGGAAGAGAGGAGAGGAGAAGGAGAGGAGGAAGTAAGGAGAGGGGAGGTGAGGAGGGGGGAGGAGGTGAGGAGAGGAGGAGGTGAGGAAAGGAGAGGGGAAGGTGAGGAGGAGGTCAGTATAGGGGGATGAGAAGAGGCAAAAGAGGAAGGCCCTCAAAATTGTCAAGGACTCCAGCCACCCTAGTCATAGACTGTTCTCTCTGCTACCGCACGGCAAGCGGTACCGGAGTGCCAAATCTAGGTCCAAAAGACTTCTCAAAAGCTTCTACCCCCAAGACATAATCATGGCTACCCGGACTATTTACACTGCCCCCCACCCCCACCCCCCACCCCATCTTTTTACGCTGCTGCTACTCTGTTAATTATTTATGCATAGTCACTTTAACTCTACCCACATGTACATATTACTTCAACTACTTCAACTAGCCGGTGCCCCCGCACATTGACTCTGCACCGGTACCCCCCTGTATATATAGCCTCCCTACTGTTATTTTATTTTACTTCTGCTCTTTTTTTTCTCAACACTTTTGTTGTTGTTTTATTTTACTTTTTCATAAAAATAAATGCACTGTTGGTTAAGGGCTGTACGTAAGCATTTCACTGTAATGTCTGCACCTGTTGTATTCGGCGCATGTGGCCAATAAATTTGATTTGATTTGATTTGAGAAGAGGAGTAAGGGGCCTTCGTCTAGCTCTGCCAGCTCTGCCTCTACTGGGAGAAGGTACGGAGGGGGAGGAAAGGAAGAGGTGAGGAGAGGGGGAGGTCAGGAGGAGGTGAGGAAAAGGTACGGAGGGGGATGAGAGGAGGTAGAATAGAAAGCAGGGAGAGGAATGAAAGTGAAGAGATAGATCAAATTTGATCCTAAACTTTTTTTCTCTGTTCATAGGAAGTGGATGACTGTATCATCAGGCAGACCAACACACACTTCCAGTACAGCTATGAGTACCTGGGTAACTCTGGACGACTGGTCATCACCCCACTCACTGACAGGTAAACACTAGCATCAACCCAGGACCTCACAGTAAAGAGACAGTGGCCACATCTCAGAGTTCACACTAGCTATTCCCTATATCAGTGGTTTTCAAGCCTCTCCTCGGGGACACCCAGACGTTTCACAATTTTGTTGCAGCCTTGAACTATCTCACATGATTTCCCCCAATTAATCATATCAAATTTGATTTGTCACATGCGCTGAATACAACAGGTGTAGACCTGTTTACTTACAAGCCCTTAACCAACAATGCAGAGTTTGTTTTTAAAGTAAGTAAGAAAATATTTGCTAAAAAAATAAAAAAATATATAATAAATAAGGGCTTGATGATTAGTGGACAAATTGAATCAGGTGTGCTAGCTCTGGAAGGGTTCAAATACATGAAACGGCTGGGGTTTATATTGTAGTGCACTATATTTCAGTTGTCTCTGCCATTACCAGCACCTTGAAGAAGCTGCTATGCACAACGCTTTTCCTTCTTTTCCCCCCATCTCTCTCCCTCTCTCATCTTCCAGGTGTTACATGACCCTGACCACAGCCCTCCACCTCCACCGGGGGGGCTCTCCTAAAGGTCCAGCAGGGACAGGGAAGACTGAGACGGTCAAGGACCTGGGCAAGGCTATGGGCATGTATGTCATCGTGGTCAACTGCTCTGATGGGATGGACTTCAAGTCCATGGGACGTATGTACTCTGGACTGGCTCAGGTAATGTGAAGAAACAGATACACTGTTATGTTATTAGGATGGTTTACCAGAGCTTAGTCCTGGACTAAGAATCATGTCAATTTTAGGTGCTTCTTAGTGCAGAACTAAGCTTAATCTGTGTCTGGGAAACCAGCCTGTGTAGTTCATCTTAGGTATTGCATATCCATTGAAAGTCTTGAATGGGTAATGCACCCATTACAGCAACACAATTTACATATCAGGTAAACACATAGATATACATAGCACTGTTGAAAATAATGCCCAGCTAAAATCATATGTGTGTGTCTATCTGTGTGTATCTCCAGACGGGTGCGTGGGGCTGTTTTGATGAGTTTAACCGTATCAACATTGAGGTGTTGTCAGTGGTGGCTCAGCAGATCCTGTCCATCCTGTCTGCTCTGTCTGCTGGAGCAACCAGGTTCATCTTTGAAGGACGAGAGATCCGCCTGGTCTGGTCCTGTGGTATCTTCATTACCATGAACCCTGGTACAGTCATTTCACATATCTGTGTATAAATGGAACTATAGTATTGAGACATTTCTCAATGATATCCATTCAGGATTTACATTTTAGTCATTTAGAAGACGGTCTAATCCAGAGCGATTTACAGTTAGTGCGTTCATTTTAAGAAAACTAGATGGGACAACCACATATCACAGTCATAGTAAGTACATTTTTCCTCAATAAAGTAGCAATCAGCAAAGTCAGAACTAGGAAGGGGGGAAAGAGTAAAGTGTGAGTGTTAGTTCACTAAATCCTTTTAAGAAATGTATTTAGGCTTACTTCAAGTTAGAATCATGCTCATGTTTCTAAAACGGATTTTGTGTTTGTGTGTGTGATAGAGAGAAGGGGAAAGAGAGGTGGAGAAATAGTGAAAGGGGAGACAGAGAGAGGGGGATAGATTGAGAGAGAGAGAGAGAGAGATCATATGGTAATAAGTGTGTTCTCTCCATCCCCAGGCTATGCTGGTCGTACAGAACTACCTGACAACTTGAAGTCCATGTTCAGGCCCATCTCCATGGTGGTACCTGACTCCACCCTCATTGCTGAGATCACCCTGTTCGGAGAGGGATTCAACAACTGCAAGGTAATAAAGTGCAGAGGGAGGGAGGGAGGGAGGGAGGGAGGGAGGGAGGGAGGGACAGAGACCTTTATGTTCAAGGTAATAATACTACATAAATGATAGGGAAAAGGGGTTTTCTTGACCAAACAATGTCAGACCTTAATGTTGCTTCTGACTGCCTGAAGAGTGTTTCCTGACCGTAGGGACTAGAGTTTTTCCTGCTTAGCTCACAGAAAGCCCTGGAAAAACTCCGGCCCTAACTATGATACTACAAGATAGTACTGTAATATCTACTATTTCACTGTAAGGAAAAACCTACTTGCCCACTGTGTCTGTTAACTAAATGAACAAGATATTCATATTCCATATAAGATTGTGAGTTTAATGAATTACACTGGCGGTAGGTATATATTTAAAACTGTTCACTCGTAATGCGTGGTGGTTTCTAAAGAATATCTTGTAGAATTATCACTGGCGCGTTAATGAAATATAGATGTTTCTTTTATGTTGAGAGCGAAGCAATCATCAGATGAGATTGAGTTCCCATGGCATTGAAGGATAGAAATAGATGCATATCATCAAATCAATCTGGTGGATATTACATTTACTGTCTCCGCTACGCTGCGTCTCACACATCTGATGTTACAGGATATGGATTTTACACTACATGATGATGACACAGACATGAATAAGGAACGAACGCACCAGTGTTTCTGCTGCATTCATTTAGCTGTGGCGCTGTGCCACGGGAAAATACATTTTATTTCTACTAGGGCTGTTGAAACTATTAAAACAATCGATGAATCCCATTTTTTGAAATTGTTCAAATTTGACCCTAAATAAAGATGTTTCTTTTTTTTTTTTTAACATCACATTGGGTTGTAGGTATAACATATTTTGATTATAGGGGAATAAATCACAAAATAAACTGTATTCTAAGACAATAACAACAGATCAGCCAGGTCAGAGTTCATGTAAAATATCATACAGCTATTAGATCTAGCCGAGGCTACTGATCCATGTTCTTCAACATGGACTAGTCACAAGCTGCTACTAGTAGAATTGGGATCATTTGTGACCCACCACCTGGATTCGGTGGTTGGACTTTTTGACATTGGATAAAAGTAGAGACTCAAAGCTAGAAAATGGTACACTATACAGTATATACAAAAGTATGTGGACACCCCTTCAAATGAGTGGATTTGTCTATTTCAGTCACACCCGTTGCTGGCAGGTGTATAAAATCGAGCACACAGCCATGCAATCTCCATAGACAAATATTGGCAGTAGAATGGCCTTACCGAAGAGCTCAGTGACTTTCAACGTGGCACCGTCATAGGATGCCACCTTAGTCAAATATTTGCCCTGCTAGAGCTGCCCCGGTCAACTGTAAGTGCTGTTATTGTGAAGTGGAAACGTCTAGGAGCAACAGCGGCTCAGCCGTGAAGTGGTAGGCCACACAAGCTCACAGAATGGGACCGCAGAGTGCTGTAGCGTGTAAAAATCATCTGTCCTTGGTTGCAACACTCACTACCGAGTTCCAAACTGCCTCTGGAAGCAACGTCAGCACAATAACTGTTCGTCAGGAGCTTCATGAAATGGGTTTCCATGGCCGAGCAGCCGCACACAAGCCTAAGATAACCATGCGCAATGCCAAGCGTCTGCTGCAGTGGTGTAAAGCTCTCTGCCATTGGACTCTGGAGCAGTGGAAACGCGTTCTCTGGAGTGATGAATCATGCGTCACCATCTGGTAGTCCGATGGACTAATCTTGGTTTGGCGGATGCCAGGAGAACGCTACCTGCCTGAATGCATATTGCCAACTGTAACGTTTGGTGGAGGAGGAAAAATGGTCTGGGGCTGTTTTTCATGGTTCAGGCTAGGCCCTTTAGTTCCAGTGAAGGGAAATCTTAACACTACATCATACAATGACATTCCAGACGATTCTGTGCTTCCAACTTTGTGGCAACAGTTTGGGGAAGGCCCTTTCCTGTTTCAGCATGACAATGCCCCCGTGCACAAAGCGAGTTCCATACAGAAATGGTTTGTCGAGAGCGGTGTGGAAGAACTTGACTGGCCTGCACAGAGCCCTGACCTCAACCCCATCAAACACCTTTGGGATGAATTGGAACGCCGACCGCGAGCCAGGCCTAATCGCCTATCATCAGTGCCCGACCTCACTAATGCTCTTGTGGCAGAATGGAAGCAAGTCCCCGCAGCAATGTTCCAACATCTAGTGGAAAGCATTCCCAGAAGAGTGGAGGCTGTTATAGCAGCAAAAGGGGGACCAACTCCATATTAATGCCCATGATTTTGGAATGAGATGTTCGACGAGCAGGTGTCCACATACTTTTGGTAATGTAGCCTATATCATACACTGCAGTTGAGGAACAATGGGAAAGTAATTTTGCTTTGAAAGTTGATAAACTTGTAACCCCACTTTTGAGAAAATGGCCCTTATAAGTTTAGTACACCTACTGGAAAACGCTTCTTTATCTACACCCATTCAGCATCGTTCACACCCTCGTAAGCCTTTGCCCCACCCATCTCTTTAAGGATTCACATGTGAGGCCATGTGCTAAACAGAGTGAATAAGGTAGGGTAATAAACAACCAAAGATTTCAAGACTAAAAGTGGTGAAAGTAGTAGCAAAAAGTAGTAGAAAAAAAATACTTTATCTAGTCCTTGACCTATATCCTAATCTGAATTCGGTGCAGGTCATGCGGTTCTTCACATTATCGTCTCTGGTAAACACACACTATATCAAATAAAATCTAAGTTTATTTGTCACATGCACAGGATACAAAATGTGTAAACGGTACAGTGAAATGGTTACTTGCATAGTGGAGTCTTTTGTTTAGACATGTAGGTAGCTAGCTAGCTAAACAATTAATCATAATCCCAACTCATACTACCATAAACTATGCATGAATCTGCAGGTAGCTAAAGCTAACCAAATAGGTTAAATGTTAGCTAGCTAGCTAACATTAGGCTATAACTAGCAATGCAAATAGATTTCTGAGATACAAATAAAATTACTACACAGATCATTCACGTAACGTTAGCTAGCGAGCCAGCCAGGTAACGTTAGCTAGCTAGCTAACAGTACGCTTTAACTTGCAATGAAAACGACTTTCTGACAAAATAAGACATTTATAATATCTGAAAATGGAGCTAGACTGGTATACATGATGAACGCTTCTCCCTCTCTGTCATGGATGCCATGGTTGCCCTTAGTTTGAAGATGTAATCCGTAGACAGGTGTTTTATACAACAGCCTTCTATGTTCTCTTTTCGACTCCTCAGCATTTGCATAATCTCTTTGCTTCCACCGGGCATTCCACTGATTTTAAAACATGGTCAACTTCTTCCGTGACAACAACACTGTTGATCGCCATTTCTTCCCCATCACTGTCATCAGAAGCCTCTACAATGTCTGGTTCAATGAAAATGTTTTTACCTAAATCAGGGATTTCCTAATCGACTGATTCATTTGAGAGTCAGCATGGCACGATCGTCCTCCAAAAAGTAGTCCATCACAACTTTTTCCCATTATCTTTGTCGATAGCGCTAAATTCAGGGCAACAATGTTGAGAGCAGTAGCAACACTTTTGCAGTTCTTCATGATATCTTTCAAAAATTATTATTATTATTATTATATTATATTATTATTATTATTATTATTATATTATTAAAAAAGCTGCGGTAGAAAGGATTATCTACACATACTGAGCAGCTCATGTTATAGACAGAAGCATGTTACATGGCAGACCAATCCGAACTCATCTCTCGGCATGTCCAGCCCATCCATTTTCTCAGCCAATCATGGCTAGCGGGAAAGTTCCTGTATTTTTCTGTGGCTAATCCAACTAGGCTCGTAATTTAACAACTTTATTCGTGTTTACAGATGGCATAAGCTGGTCCTTATAGCACTTCATCTGTCCGCCTGCAGACTGCCAGCCAAGATGTAGCTGGCCATACAGGATCTTCCGTGGCAAACGTTCCTGAGACATTCTAATGACGTGGCCAAGCCAGCGCAGTTGGTGTTGGGTAACCATGGCCTCCATACTCTTGCAGTTGGTCTTAGCAAGTATTTCTGTATGGGGCACACGGTCGCACCAGGTGATTCCCAGGATGCGCTGCAGGCATCTTATGTGGAATCGCTCGAGCTGCTTGTTGTGGTGACTGTAATTGACCCAGGCTTTACAGATGTAAAGCAGTGTGGTGATGCAGACGGCTTGATAGACGGCGACTGGGGTGTGAAGGTGGAGATCCCTGTTTTGTAAGACTCTGGGTCTGAGTTTCCCGAAGTCAGCTGATGCTTGCTTGATCCTGTTTTGAATTTTGAGGTCGATGCTGCAGTTTTCCGAGAGGATGCTGCCCAGGTATTTGAAGGACAGGACTATTGCCAGTGATTTGTGCTCAAATGGTGAAGACAGGCATGGTGGGTGGAGGGCTGGATCTCCATTGGAAGACCACCTCTGTCTTGGTGGTGTTGATAGACAGTCCCATCCTGCTATAGACCCTCACAGCCGCTACAAGGATGGACTGAAGGTCACAAAAGCACAGTTATCAGCAGACTGCAGCTCAAGAACCCATTCTGTCAAAACCTTGGTGGTTTCTTGGAGCCTCCTGATGTTGAATAGGTTTCCATCCAGCCTGAAGTCCACCGCAACCCTGCTGCTGTCATCAAGCTCCTTGTGGAGAAGCTGGGTGACACATAGGAGGAAGATGTTAAAGAGTACAGGTGCCAGCACACACCCCTGCCTCACACCGATGCTTACTCCAAAGGGCACTGACTCCTGCCCTCCTATGGCCACCCGAGCCATCATCCCATCATGGAACTGGTAAAAGATGTTGACAAATTTGTCTGAATGGTGTCTGAACAGCCACATTTGAGTAGAATGCCCCATAGTAGTTCCCTGCTCACAGTGTCGAAGGCCTTGGAGAGGTCGACAAAGGCCATGAAAAGGTCCTGATGTTGTTCACAGCACTTCTCCTGGAGTTGCCGTGCCGTGGATATCAT